GTTTTGGCCCACATTCTTGATAACAATGCCCGGCACGCAGGAACAGGGTTCTGTGGCTTGGGGCTTTGTGTCGGCCCACACCAGGCACCGGTCGCTGCCCTATCCTGTGCTTCCTCTGCATGCTGTGGGCACAGGGGTGTCCATCACAGCCCTAGATACTCCCCTGCCCACCTACCTCTCGGGGCTGCCCCCCCACCGCACCTACCCGGCCACACCCTCGTCAGGCACATTGAGGAATTCTGTGTTGTGCTCGGAGGGGGGCCGTGCCCGGGGGCGCCTGCTGGCCCTCTGGCCTGAGGGTGGAGGGCCTTGGGGAGGCCGCTGAGAGCCCCCTCCAGATGTGATCTCCAGGGGCAGAGGGCCTCCTCTGGCAGAGGGGGGCACCCCGTTTCGGTCCAGACCTGTGGTGGGAACAAGGATGGAGGCATTTATTAGGATGCTCTGGGAGGATGTGGGGAGGATTTGTCTCCAAGTTCCCAGTCTGAGGGAGGAGGCAGCCACACTCAATCCGGTATGGTGACTGGGCCAGAGGGAGGGACCCAGGGGCCAGGTGGGACGAGAGAAGTTCTGCAGGGGTAAGACTCTGCCCCGCCCCCACCCTTGTAGGAGGGCTTTTTGGGGTGGGTCTTGGAAGATGAATAGGAACTCAAGTGTAGTGGGAATTTGGGAGACAGGCAGAGCAAACAGCTCCAGCAAAGGCCTGGAGGTAAGAGCAAATTTGGTAAGTTGGTAAAAATAAGATGTAGCTTGTATGACAGGAGTGTAAGAGGAGAGGAGAGGAGAGGTCAGTGGTTATAGCAGGTGTCAGATTCCGGAGGGCTTTGAGTACCAAACTAAGCTTAGCCTTTATTATGTGGAAGATGGGGCGCTATGGAGAGTTCTGGATAGAGAAGTAGAGCGTTATCACTCTGCTTGTTAGATAGCGCGGACAGGCAGTCTGGCTCAGGTTACGGAGCCCACAAGCAGCAGGGGAAGACCCTTAGTGGGGGGCACCTCCTCACCCCTGGGGCGCCCGGGCGCCGCCCGAGAAGGGCCCGGGGCCGATCTTCGCGGTCTTCCCTGGGCCGCTCCTTTCCGTGTGGGCTCTGGAAGGCAAGGGAAGGGATGTGGGCGTTTGAGCGGCGGCCCCGCCCACAAGCCCAGTCTCTTCTGGCTCGGCCCGAGCCCGCTCCAGAGCTCCGCACTGTGATTGGCCTCTCTTCTCCAGGACCCACCCATTCCAGGGCTCACAGGCTGCCTCTTTGGCCACGCCCCCTCCTCATCTCTCGCCCAATCATTGGTCTCCTCTAAGTCTTTCCCTCTCCTCCATGGCCCTCCCTCACCCTTGGCCGCCTCACTGGCTCCGCCCTTCCAGCCTTGATTGGTCCCTTGCTGGCCTCGCCATTTTGGCTACGCCCCCCGCTTCTGCGCAGACTCACTGGAGCTTTTGGGTAGCCCATCACCCACGCTGACGGTGAGGGCTCGGCCGCTAGCTTTGAGCGCCGCCACGTCGCCGGAGCCACGCGAGAAAGTGACGCTGCGGGTGCCGCCTCCGCCCCAGCCCTCCTTCTTCACCCGGAACTGTAGTCTGTGGGGAGAGGAGGAAGCTGTATGGGCGCCGCCTCCCGAGTAGGAGGACCTCCCCACCCATCCTTGCCCGGCGGGGCACCGGTGGGTGGCGGAGCAGTTGAGCTGGTCCGCGGGCCCGGAGGGGGTGCTGGGCCCAGACTAGCGCCAGGATGCGGTGGTGATGGGGAGGCCATACGTGTCGCTGAAGGTGAGGGGCAGGGGTCTCCGTGCTGCCTCCTCAAAGCGCTTGCACAGGAGGCTGACAAACTCCGTCTTGAAGATGCTTTCCAGGAAGCTGTCGGCCGCTTCTTCTTGGAGGATGAAGAAGTCGTCTTGCCGCGTGCTGGGGAGGGCAGGAGGAAAGGCCGGTGGTAGTGATGGGTGAGGGTGGTAGAAGGAGTGACTGTGAGATGCAGCCGGGGAGGGTCAGGTAAGAGGCAAGTGAGGAGTTAACAGGTGGGGGAAGCGGGAGAAGGGAGGGAGCAGGAGAAGGTGGTAATAGAGAAGGGCCAGGTAAGGAGTCAGGGGAGGGGACAGGTGCAAGGGGCAAATAAGGATCATGAATGTGGGGGCTGGTGAAGGTGACGTGTGGGGCCAAGAGAGAGTTATATGTATAGCAGCAGGTAAAACGGTCAGGGTTACAGATGGGGCAGCAAGTATGAGGACAGCTGAGGGTGACAAGAGAGTGACTGTGGGGCAGGTGGACTCCTGGCCTCACCTGAGGGAAACTCCCCGCAGGGCCTGGATCTCCAGCTTCTTCTTCAGGACCTCACGCACCTGGCCCTTCTCCGGTCCCTTCTTCACCTTCTCCCGCCCAATCATGTACACACATCTGGGCGTCAGGATCAAGTCCCTCTTGATGGGCTGTGAGGATGCAGTTACCATAGAGGCTGATGGCAGGGGCCTGGGGCATGGGATCAATTCCAGGCAGAGGGTGGTGCTGGTAGGTCGGGTGAAGGTGTCCCTTCATGTGAAGGTATATGAGTGGTTATATAATAAATAAGAGGTTAAGGAAGGCTATATTGGCTAGAAGGGGGTGTCTGAAAAGGTACAGGATAGGTAAAGGTATACTTGCTGGACACGTGTACCCAGGTCAGGTAAGAGTAGCTGTGCACAGGTGTCTAGGCTAGGTGAAGGTGTGTCTAATTGACAGGTCTATTTAGACTGAGTGAGTGTGTGATACCTAATGGATAGATGTTTCCAGGATAAGTGAGAATGGTCCTGTGGTCAGGGCTTCTGGGTAAGGTAAGTGTGTAATTGTGGACAGATGTATCTGGCCAGGTGAAGACACATCTGATGGATAGGTGTGTTTGGGCTACATAAGGGCATATTTGATGGATAGATGTATCTGTGTTAGTTGAGCATATACCTGTGGGCAGGTGTGCCCCAGCCAGGTGAGGGTGTACCTCTGATGGGGGTGCCAGGCTGGAACCAGGGTTCTGGACATACCCACTTGCTGGTGCCTCACCTTGAAGCGGCGGTCATACTTAGTGACCGAGTCAGCGAAGTCCACACGCTCCCTCTTGCCCAGGAACTGACGCAGCTCTGGCCGCTCCTCCAACCCCAGGTAGTCTCCAACAAAGTTCCGATTGATGCTATTTCGTCTCCGCTCCTTCTTGTTCAGCAGGATGTTGGAAGCTGTGGGAACACAGGGTGTGGGGGCAGAGGTTGTGGCTTGGCTCTTCCAGGTACATCTGTTTGCACCCTCTGCCTCCCACCTGCAGCCTCTTACCTTCCTCTCGCATCTCCTCATACTTCCGGATTGCCACATGGCTCCGCCAGGCCTTCTGGATAGTGCGGGCAAAGCCATCAAACTTGCGCTCTCGCATCTCTTCTAGAAGAAAGAGCTGGGCGGGATGGAGGGGTGGTGGGTCCTAGTGTCTCCCCAGGGCCACAGTCTCCAGTTTCTCTTGAGCCCACCCCACCCACATGCTCTTGCTCAGAGGCCCCTGCTATATCACACTATGGTCAAAATTTTCTTCCTCCACATGATGTGACCCAGGATTCCCTCCCAATATGTGGCACAAGCCCCTGCATTAAATTATAACTGGCTTGCCTGGTTGGGTTCAAATCCCAGCTCTGCCTATTACAGCTGTGTGGTTTTGCCAGAAATGGTATAACATCATGTTATCCCACACTACTAATTATGCTATGTTATGCCTTTCATGTGAGGTGCACCCCAACTTCAGAGATGTTAGGAATGTGAATCAATGTGTATTTTAGAAGAACAGTACTGTAAACATGGACATCTAATGGCAGGCGACTGTGGTTATGCAGTGTATGACCTGCACAGCCATGCATGGTAATAGAGATCTTGTGCAGAAAGCAGACTTTCGGGTGTTTTTTTCAGTCCTCATCTGATGATATGTTTATTGATTTTTATTTATTTTTTAAAAATATATTTTATTGAAATTTTACAGAGAGGAAGGGAGAGGGATAGAGAGCTAGAAACATCGATGAGAGAAACATCAATCAGCTGCCTCCTGCACACCCCCCTTGGGATGTGCCCGCAACCAAGGTACATGCCCTTGACTGAATCAAACCTGGGACCTTTCAGTCTGCAGGCCGACGCTCTATCCACTGAGCCAAACCGGTTAGGGCTGTTTATTGATTTTTAGAGAGAGAAGAAGGGTCAGAGAAAGAGAAACATCGATTGGTTGCCTCCCTTATGCAACCCGGCCTCCAACCAACTGAACCACCTAGTCGGGGCCAGACTTTTGAGTTTTAAGGGTCTTGGTCCAGAGAGTGCTTAGAAAATAAACTATATTTGACCAAAGTATAGTGGAAATGCCATGAAAGATATCTTAAAAAAAAAAAATAACGGGTGAGCATATCAAGGAGAGGAACCCACTGGATATGAAGAGTTATAAATCTATAGTAATAATAACAGTGAGGTGCTGGTCAAGGACTAGAACTATCAATTGGAATAGGACAGATGGTTGGGAAACATCCTAATTCAAACATACATTTAGTGATAAAAGAAATAGCATTGACATCAGTGAAGATGGGAAATACTGAAGATGAAATTGGGCTTTATAAAAAGAATTAACCCTTCACTCAGAACGATTTCTCAAATACACAAATACCCATCACTGCTCAAAGCCTGGCTATCCACTTTGCTGGCCAAGGTGGTTGATATCTCCCAGAAACTCCAGGCTTTCCTGCAAGGACTAAAAGGATGATTCTACAGATACCTGGTCCAAATGCACTTTAAAAATATAACTTGGAGGATTTGTATAGCCGTGGGTGTTTATAACTATATAAGGTTTGGAGTCTTCTCACAAGGAAGAAAAACCAACATTGCAGTTTTGTGTGTGTATTCTTTTGTTCCTCTAATATTCTGTGGTTGGTGGGTCTGTGTACAAAGTGTGTCTGAGTAATGCCTCGTGTAGGTTGTCTGGAGGGCAGGAAGGTGCATTAATTCTCTGGTTTGCTGAGGGGGACAGGAATGAATAATGGGAGACCAGCCTGTAGAACTGTGAGTGAGCCAGTCAAACAGGAACCCCCTTCCCTTTAGCTGTTTAGGAAGATGGGACAAGTGATTTCTGCCCAGTAAAGAGAATTTGTTTTCAATTTGGGAAATGAGCCTTCCTGTCTACAGAGTTCAAAATATATCTCCTTTATGCTGCGGAGGGCAGGTATAGGTGTGCGAAGGGGGCTGGGACAGGATTCAAGTCGAAGCTTATCCTGGTGGGTTGGGTTGAATAGGGTCTTCCCCAAAATTCATGTCCACCCAGAACCTGAGAATGTGATCTCATCGGGAAAGAGGGTCTTTGCAGATGTAATCATGTTAAAATGAGATCACACTGGAGTAGGGTGGGCCCTAAATCCAATATGACTGGTGTCCTTATACGGAGAGGGGAGGCCATGTGATGACAGGTAGAGGTGGCAGATGCATCTATAAACCTAGGAACGCCAAGGATCTCTGTCAGCCACCAAAAGTTAGGGAGAGGCAAGCAAGGATTCTTCCCTGGAATCTTGAGAGGAAGCGTGGCCCTGTGGCACCTTGATTTTGGATTTCTTGCCTCCAGAAATGTGAGAAAATAAGTTTCTTTTGGGTTAAGCCATCAAGTTTGTGGTGCTTGGTTACAGCAGCCACGGGAAACTAATATACCTGGGATGATGGAGAGTGAAGGCCAACAGGTGTATAACATGTCCAAGGATAATTTGTGTCCATGTTTACAAGAAACAATCCAATTCAGAATCATCTCACTTGAACGCATTTGTGGTTGAGAGAAGCTCCAACTCCATTTGGTTCACTTAATTCCTTGATCAGCTTTTTTAAAAAAGTATATATTTTTACTGGTATTGATTTCAGAGAGGAAGGGAGAAGGAGAGAGAGAGATAGAAACATCAATGATGAGAGAGAATCATTGATTGGCAGCCTCCTGCAGGCCCCCTACTGGAGGGAATCAAGCCCGAAGCCAGGGCATGTGCCCTTGACCTGAATCGAACCTGGGACCCTTTAGTCTGCAGGCCAATGCTCTATCCACTGAACCATACCAGCTAGTGCCACATACTGGGGATTGAGTCTGCAACCCAGGTAGGTGCCCTGACCCGGAGTCAAACTGACCTGGTTCATAGGTTCACGCTCAACCACTGAGCCATGCCGGCTGGGCCCTTGATCATTTTTTAAAATATATATTTCATTGATTTTTTACAGAGAGGAAGGGAGAGAGAGTTAGAAACATCGATGAGAGAGAAACATAAATCAGCTGCCTCCTGCACACCCCCTACTGGGAATGTGCCTGCAACCAAGGTACATGCCCTTGACCGGAATCGAACCTGGGACTCTATAGTCCACAGGCCGACGCTCTATCCACTGAGCCAAACTAGTCAGGGCATGATCAGTTTTTGATATAGCATAGTCAAACTGTTTTAATGCTCCCCTCCTCCCCCATTTTCATTTCACTAAAATTATTCTCATTAGGATAATTTTTATTTCCTGTGCAAATTACCAGTCTTTTTTTTCCATTATAAAAAATTCCCACCAAGCTTTTACCTTTGTAAATTTTATCATTCAAATTGCAGTCTCTGCTGTAACCGGTTTGGCTCAGTGGATAGAGTGTCGGCCTGCGGACTGAAAGGTCCCAGGTTCGATTCCGATCAAGGGCATGTACCTTGGTTGCAGGCACATCCCCAGTGGGGGGTGTGCAGGAGGCAGCTGGTTGATGTTTCTCTCTCATCAATGTTTCTGACTTTCTATCCCTCTCCCTTCCTCTCTGTAAAAAATCAATAAAATATAAAAAAAAAATTGCAGTCTCAAAATGTGCAGGCCGCAGTTTTTGTCAAAATTTGATTTTACCTTCTATAGTCTTAGTGCTAGCTTTATTTTGTCTATCTTTTGCAGTGTCTATATTATGTTTCTTTCAGAGTCAGATTTTACAATCTGCCAGTAACAGGCAAGATAGATTCTCTTTCTCTCCCACCCATCCTCCTATTTTTCTTCCTCTCCCTCTCTCCATTTTTTTCTTATCGGTTACAAATTGAATTGTTTCAGGTATATTTTTAGCCATGGACAATTTTGGTTTGTGATAAGTTTCTGTTAGTAACAATATTGACTTTGAATGAGATTCCAGACTTTATATTTTTTTGGAGCAAAGTGCATCCATAGGGAAAAGCTCTAGGAGGTAGATGTGGACAAATTCGGCGACAAAATTTCCCAACCTCCCAAGACAGACTGTTTTCGTATCTGTGAAATCTCAGAGTGTCCACCCCTCTGTGTTGTTTGGATTGGTGAGAGAACAGTTACCTTTAAGTACTGTAACTTCAAGGGAATCATTTCAACAGTCTCCTGGTTGTCTCCAGGTGCCAGCAGAGCAGGTGCCAGAGGGCACCTGGCTGGCCCTGCCCTGGCCCTATACCCAGCAAACCTTTCCTTGCTGTTCCAGCTTATCCCAGACTGGGAACCAGATTCGCCTGAGAATCTGGTGAACTAGTTAAGCTCATTGACATGGTCATCTCCCTGTTTGCTTTCCAACCTCACATAGAAACAGGGCCCAGGCAAGCCCTTCGGGGATTCCTTGCCCTGTTTTTTGTTGATTTTTTTAAAAAACTGCCCCCTGCCCTAACTAGTTTGTCTCGGTGGATAGAACGTTGGCCTGTGGACCAAAGGGTCCCAGGTTTGATTCTGGTCAAGGGCATGTACCTTTGGTTGCAGGCTCCTTCCCAGCCTGGGCCATAGTTGGGTTGTGTGCAGGAGGCAACCAAAACACATTGATGTTTCTCTGTCTTTCCCTCTCTCTTTTACTCTCCCTAAAAACCAATGGTAAAATATCCTCGGGTGAGGATTAAAAAAAACAAAAACTTCCCTCTTGCCCTGACTGGCTTTCTCAATGGTTAGAGCGCCAGCCCATGGATTGAAGGGTCACGGGTTCGATTTCTAGTCAAGGCCATGTACCTCAGTTGCAGGTTCCCCGCCCCAGTAGGAGTTCATGCCAGAGGTAACTTGTCTCTCACATCTCATTGATGTTTCTCTCCCCCCTCCTTCCCCCCTTTCCTTCTCTCCAGAAATCAATGGAAAAACTATCCTCAGATGAGGATTAAAAAAACTTACTCCAGCTTTATTGAGATATAATTGTCATGTAACACTCTGAAAGTTTAAAAGTGTACATGACTTGATTTGATACACTTCTATATTGCAAAATGATGACCATATAGGTCAGCTAACACATCCATCACCTCCCATAGTTACCATTTCTTTTGTGTGGTGAGAACATTGAAGATCTCTCTTAGCAACTGTCAACTGTATAATACAGCATTGTTCACTCTTGTCACTGTGCTGTACATGACTCCCCAGGACATATTCCTCATCATTTCCCTGCACGCAGAGGCAGCATAGTGTGGGTGGTGCTTCCAGCCTTTTGATAAAAGGCTAAGAGCTGATGTAGCTCACTGGAGGGTTCCTATGTTGGAGGATGTGCAATGAGGTTTGTCTTTGATGTATCAGGACCCGAGGCTAGTTTTGGATAAGAAAAATGCCACTTTGACATGAATCTCAGGCTCAGGGACCTGATGTGTTCATGAATGAAGGAGTGAAGGAAGAAAAGGAGATGGAGGAAGGAAAAAAAAGAAAGAAGAAAGGAAACAAGAGACAAAAGGACATTCTGGATAAGCCATGCATCCTTATTCTTTCCAGGCACCCATGTGTTTCTCTACCTGCTTCCTGGCCACCAAGGACTATCCAGCTAATTTAGGTTTTTCTGATCACCTACTACATGCCAGGCACTATGCATTGGATTTCCTGTTCTGTCTAATCCTCAGCCCAGTCCTGCATGGCAGCTTTTACTCTCCCCACTTTCCAAATGGAGAAACTGAGGCTTGGAAGGGCGAGGAAACATGTTCAAGATCACACAGTGGCCTGAAGAGCAGGACCTGAGCCTATGCAAGTGATCCAGGTGTCTTGTCTGTCTGTCTGTCTGTCTCTCTCACACACACACACTTACTGACTCAGGGTTCTTGACGAAGACCTTGGTGCTCCCCATCTGGTACTGGTCCTGTTCCATGTTGACTGCACGCAGCAGGTGCTGGACGCCCTGACGCTCGTCCCCGCGCCACCGTGGCCATGTCTGGGGGGTCAGAATGGCGTACCTGGTGGCAGAGGTTTGGGAGGGTTTGAGCAGGTGGCTCAGCTGGAGGTTATTCTGCAGGTGGTGGTTAGGGCTGGGAATGGCAGGGCACCTCACCTCTGCAGGAACTTGGCGAACTGGCGGCGATAGGCAAAGCCTGCCCTGCGTACCCTGATGTTCTCCTTCAGGCCCAGGTACTCAACTTGGTGCTTGACCCTGGAGGGAAGGCAGCCTGAGTCCCCTGGTAGGGGCCTCCCCAGTCCTAGGAGCGGGGGTGGGGGGTATCTGCTGGAGGCAGTATGGGGGCTGAGGTATGGGGAGGGAAGTTCACCGCCGGTCCCAGCGAATCAGTTCTGTGGAGGTGGGGCCTGGGTTCTGGGATGAGGGGTCTGTGTTGGTTCTGTGGCCAGTCACTTCTAGAGTGGGGTCTAGGGACTGTGCTAGTCTCTGGGTCATCCTCCAGTCAGTTTGGGGCTGTCCCTGGGGTCAGTGGGGGTCTTGGTCTTTTCTAGGTGTAACCCCAAGGCTCTGAGGGACTTTGCAGTGGTCCTAGAGGTCAGCCTGGGTTAATCCTGTGATGTCATGCAACCCCAGGAGGGTTCCAGAGGAAGGGTCATTTTTGGGGATAGGCAGTGTGGATTGGTCAAGACGGTAGCCAGACCAGGCTGGGGGTCACCTGCTTTCCTCCCAGTCATGGGGCCTCTTGGTCTCGTTGGGTTTGATGCAGCGGATATAGTGGGGTGTGCACTTCTTCAATGTGGCCACCAGGTCATTGGCTTGTTTCTGAGGCAGAGGAGAAGGCAGGGAGTGGTGCACAGATAGGCCCCTCTGGCCCCTTTCTCCTCCCACCCTGGAAATAGACCCAGGAGACAGAGACACACTGTGTGTGGACAGGGACTGGCCAGTGTTTGTTGATGGAGTACTAAGTCCTTGGGGTAACATGTCCCTCAGAACATCCCTGCCTATCCTCCGGAGACCAGTACTTTGGAGGTAGGGAATCCTGTGTATGTGCCTGAGACATCAGCCTTGGTTGTGCCTTTTAGTCCCCCCGTGGAGACTAGAAAGGAAATTGTTCCAGGTGTGGGGACTGGCGGGAGCAGCAGGAGACCCTGGTGTTGATCATGGCTCTGCTGTGTGATCTGGGCCAGTGACTGCACCTCTCCGAGCCTTGGTCTCCCCATCTGCCAGATGGGACTAGTCCCACATGTGTAAAGTATCCTGTATTTGCTACCAGCACTGACAAGTGCTCAATACATGGTTATTAAATATTACTATGCTGCTCTAGCTGGTTTTGCTCAGTGGATAGAGTGTCAGCCTGTGGACTGAAGGGTCCCGGGTTTGATTCCAGTCAAGGGCACATGCCTGGGTTGCAGGCTTGATCCCCAGTAGTGGGTGTGCAAGAGGCAGCCAATCAATGATTCTCTCTCATCATTGATGTTTCTGTTTCTCTGTACCCCCCCTTCCTCTCTGAAATCAATAAAAACATATTTAAAAAATATTACTAGGCTGACACACCCATGTCCATAGCAGCACTGTTCACCATAGCTAAAAGGTAGAAACAATCCAAGTGTCCATCAACAGAGGAATGGATAAGAAAAAGCAGTATATCCACACAATGGGATATTATTCTGCTTTAAAAAGGTAGGAAATTCTGACCTACAACATGGATGTACCTTAAGGACATTAAGCTCAGTGAAATAAGTCAGTCACAAAAGGATGAATACTGTGTGATTCCACTCATAGGAAACTCTTAGAGGAGTAAGATCCATAGAGACAGAAGTAGATGGTGGGTGCCAGGGGCTGGGGGAGGGGGAAGAGGAGTGTTTAATGGGGACAGAGTTTCAGTTTGAGAAGATGAGGAAGTTTTGGAGATGATGGTGGGGGTGGTTGCACAACAATGTAAATGTACTTGATGCCACTGAACTGTTTGTACACTCAATGGTTAAGATGGTGTATTTATGTTATGTCTGTTTTATCACAATTTTTTAAAAGTGGCAAATGACCAAAAGATAAAAAAATTTTTTAAGTCATGGTTCACTTCTGGATTTAGGGTGCTAAGGAGGGGCCATTGAGGAAGCTGGCCCAAGCCCCTAACCCCAGAGCTGGAAGAAGACTGCTGGTCAGAGAGTGCCAGAGACGGGGCGGAGGGTCTGGATGCAGGAGAGACAGACACAGACGTCCACATGCCCAGCTCCTCCTGGCCTGCCCTAAGGCTCACCTTGATCTTGGAGCCAGCAGTGCTGGGGCGGCCCTTCTTGTCTACATCCAGCTTCTCGGGGAAGAGCATCCGGAGGAAGGCGCTGGGCAAGGAGAGAGAAGGGGTTGGAAGTACAGCTGGACCTTGGGTTGCATTTCCCAGAAGTGGGGCTGTTTAGGGGCCTGAGACCCAGAGGACATTCTGAAAGGTATAGTTCTTTCTGAATGTGGAGGGTGAGATGTTGAGAATCAGAGGGTTGGTTTTGTTTTTTTGGTTCCTTGATTATTTATTTGCTCTGTTACTTCTTCCACGACCACACAGGACTTGGTGTAGCAAGTAAAGCAGAAAAAAGTTAAATGAAGTAGGAAAATATATCCAGTGATGCAGCATCTTGGGCAGCAGGAGCAGGACCCCTCATAGGAACCATTTTACACACACAGGATTGCATGTAGGATGTAACCATGTTTGTGATTGTCAGAGATGGACACAACCTAAGTGTCCATCAGCAGGGGATCAGTTAAATACACTCTGGTACATCAGGCTCCCTCTCTCATCTTCTCAGCTAGATCTTCTCTGACCACAGAATGAGTGGACTGCTTAATAAATACCGAGTATATCTCCCTCTCCCTTCCTCTCTGAAATCAATAAAATATATATATATTTAAAAATTGTATTTGTAGCTTGAATTCTATTAGATGTGGAATGTATTGGACAGCACTGCTCTAGAGCAGCAATTTTCTTTTTTAATTTAATTTATTTTTATATATTTTTATTGATTTCAGAGAGGAAGGGAGAGGGAGAGAGAGAATTAGAAACATTAATGAATGAGAGAAAATCATTGATTGACTGCCTCCTGCATGCCCCCGACTGGGGATCAAACCCACAACCCGGGCATGTGCCCTTGACCAGAATCGAACCCAGGACCCTTCAGTCCGCAGGCCAACGCTCTCCACTGAGCAAAATCGGCCAAGGTTAGAGCAGCAATTTTCAACTGGTGTGCTGCAAGAAATGTTAAAACATGCAATACCTAACTGGTCAGGGGCACTGATCTCTTTTCCCTTAGATCAGTAGTTCTCAACCTGTGGGTCACGACCCCTTTGGCAGTCGAATGACCTTTTCACAGGGTTGTTCAGATATTTACATTACATATCAGGTATTTACATTACGATTCATAACAGTAGCAACATTACAGTTATGAAGTAGCAACGAAAATAATTTTATGGTTGGGTCACAACATGAGGAACTGTATTTAAAGGGCCAGAAGGTTGAGAACCACTGCATTAGATTGTCAAATTAAAAAATGACAACCACTTGCCCTGGCCGGTTTGGCTCAGTGGATAAAGCATCGGCCTGCAGATTGAAGGGTCCTGGGTTCAATTTCGGTCAAGGGCACATGCCCGGATTGCAGGCTCGATCCCCAGTAGGGGCCATGCAGGAGGCAGCGGATCAATGATTCTCTCTCATTCATTGATGTTTCTAACTCTCTCTCCCTCCCTCTTCCTCTCTGAAATCAATAAAAATATATTTTAAAAAAATGACAACTACCAACACAGCAATAGCTGTCCAGTGTGAATGAATCAAAATTATACCTTTTTTTTTTTTTTTTGTCAGATTGGCAAAAAATATGGGGTTTTTTTGGTGTGGCACAGAATTTTAGTAATCAGTTTATGTGTGCCATGAGATGAAAAGGTTGAAAAGTGGCTGCTGTAGACCAATGAATCTTAAACTCTGACTTGTATATGGGTCCGGGGTGGCGGGTGAGGGTAAGAGTCTTATTAATAAAATCCAGATTTTGGTTCCATCTGCCTGGGATTCTGCATTTGTAGCCAGCTCAGACAAGGCCCAGGTGGCTTGCGGGAACCACTTTCAGCCCTTTCAGAACCACTGTCTGTGCTAGATTCTATTTGCCTTTTTTCCTAGTTCAATCTGTTGGCTCAATGACAGCAGCTGACTTGTGTCATCCATCCTTGCAAGTTCAAATGGTGCCTGGTCCACAGCAGAGCTGAACACAATTTTGAGGTATAAAAAGCCAAAAGATGGTACCCGGCATGCTACTGTGGTCAGGGAGATAGGTCCATATGAGTTAGCACAGAAAAACGCAGGGTGCGGTATGTTCTCACTGCATGGAAAGGGAAGCTGTCGGCACCAATGCTTGAGTTTGCAGAGGGAGCGCTGGAAAGGTTACTGTTGAGTCAGAACCAGCCACTAGAAATGCTATCCTGGCCGCACAACCCCCCCTGACAAAGTCTGTGGCGGGATGGAAGCTCTGGGAAGATGGGGTGGTCCCCGGGCCTCCCCCATCTGCAGGGGTGGGTACTGCCCAGATGTCCCCACTTACTGCTCACTGGTCTGCATCAGCTCTATGAGGTCGGAGAAGAGAACATCTCGGTTCCTCTCACAAAAGCCGCTGACGTTATAGGAGACCTGGAGGGAGGTGGCATGGGGGGAGTGAGGGGCTGAAGCCAGGGTAGTAGGGGGGCTACAGCCCAGGTGGTCATGGAGTGAGAGAATGAGGGTAGTAGCTATGGTTCAAAAGCGGGGGTGGAGGCAGCAGCATGGGCCTGGGGTCTCTGGGCATCTGATATTCAAGTTGAAATTGGAGGGTGGGAGCTGCAGTCTGGGTTAGAGGTGAGGGGAGGAGATGGTATAGGCCAGAGTTGGGGATGGGTAGGCTGCAGCCTGGGCAGAAGGTCCCTGGGGTGGGGTGCTGCTCCTTAATTTAGAGTTAAAAGGTCAGAGCATCTGTGTCGTGGCCAATTGAGGGTATGGGAGGCTGTGTCAAGGGCAAGTTACAGGCGTGGCTGGAGATCCTGGGGGATTGCAGCCAGGCTTGTGGGCTACCATCCAAGGTGAGGGCTCTCTATGCTGGTTGTGGGTATTCCCTGGCTCAGGGGACACAGGAACTCCAGCCCATTTTAGGGACTGGTGGGCTGTAGCAAGCTGACCACAGAATGGAGGCTGTCTCTGCCCATGTTAAGGTCAGTGGGAGAGTCTGCAGTCCTGTCAATTGGGGAGGGAGAGCGTGGCCAGGGTGGGAGGCCAGTGGATTACTATGGCCTTGGGGAGGGGCCTGCCGGGGGGCTCAAGCCCATTGTGGAGGGTGGTGGCTTGCACTGTGGGCCTGGGGTCTCCAGGTTGGGGTCAGAAGATTGTAGGCTGTGTCCTGGATCAGGGGTTAGTGGGTCTTACCGTTTAGATTGGGGCCTGGGGGTCTGCTGCCCAATTTTAGGGTCATTTTGAGGGAGTTTCTGTCTTGTAAGGAGGAGCTGTCCTGCTAGTAGGGGGGCTGTGGCCTTGATCAGGGGCCAGTGAGTTTCTGCAGTTCTGACTGAAGGCATGGTGGGGGCTCAGGCCAATTTCTGGGGGTCAGCGAATGGGTGTCTGTGTTTCTGGTCTGTTGGTAAGGCTGGAGAAGGGGCTGGGTAGCCCTGGATGGGGGAACCCAGGAGCTCCTGTTAGGAGGTTGAGAGGCTGCAGCCTGGACACCCAGGGTCTGAGGAGGTGCCACTGGGGCAGTGGGGTGGGGGAAGGCAGGGGGAGGCGGGTCGCACCTTGCCAGCGTAGTGGTGGATGACGAAGCCGGCACTCCAGCTGTTGAAGTGCTCATGGGTACCCACGGCCACCTGCAGCTTCTGCTGCAGCGTCTGGTCGGCGCCACCGCCTGTGGCGTGCATGGTGGCACACACGTCGTCCAGGACACTCATGATGCCTGGGGGGCTCTGCGGTCATGGGGAGGTGGCAGTTGCTCAGTCTCGCCCTACTCTGCCCAAATCCCACTACAGGGACCTTCCCTGGGATGCGAGTGGGGGTGCTTTCTAAATATAAGAGCAAAAGGTGGTGGTGGGGCACAAATCTCAGTGTGGGGGCTCTGTGGAAGCTCCCTGGGATGCAGGATGGGGTGAGGGGCCCCATAAGAGATCCCATGCCTTGTCACCTTTCCCAGATCGGGGTGTCTGGTGGGAGACCTGTCCCTGAGCACACTGACCCCTCTGTCCCTGGGCAGGCTGCCTGGGGAAAAGTTTGTTGAGTGAATAAGTCAAAGGGGAGCCGGTGGGCAGAATGAATGGGTGAGGTGGCTGATGGGATGTGTCAGTTGTGCTCCAGGGTAAAGAGGGGCCTGTGGGGACCATTACCCCCTCCCTGCTCTCCCAGGTCTCCTAAGCTCAGCTCTGGGGCTCATTGAGACCCCCTAAAGCTGGCCTGGCTCTCACCAGCTTGTTTTCAATGAGGTCACAGACGATTTTGTTGTTGAAGTACTGAATGGGGGTCCAGCGGATGCCCTCCTGGACATACTCCTCCTGGTGGTGGCAAAGGGGGCAGGGGTGGGGTTGAGTGTCTGGACAAAGCTGTGCATTTCTAGAATGTATGCTCAAGGATGGGTGAAGAAAGTGGGTGCTCTGCCACCCTCTTTCTCTTCAACAAGGTGGCTGAACAGTCTCCCCAACAGATGCAGAAATGCAGATCTTTGTGAAGACCCTGAATAGCAAGACTATTACCCTCGACTTCTCACCCAGTGACACCAGTTAGAATCTCAAAGCGAAAATCCAAGATAAGAAGGGCGTCCTGCCTGACTAGCAGCGTCTGATTTTTGTGGCCAAAGGGCTAGAGGATGGCCGCATTCTCAGACTGCGGTATCCAGGCGGAGTCCACCCACCGCTGGTGCTTCCTCTGCAGGGCTGCATCATGGAGCCCTCCCTCCGCCAGCTTGCCCAGAACTACGACTGACTGCCTGCGACAAGATGATCTGCAAAAGCGTTCCACCGACCTGCACCCCTCATTGTCAACTGCTGCAAGAAGTGGGGCCACACCAACAACCTGTGCCCCAAGAAGGAGGTCAAATAGGGCCCCTCCACCACCTCCTTGCCCGCAGGGCAACCTCTTGCCTTAACTCTGTGGCCATTGGGCCTCGATAAAGTTTCCCTTTTGTTGAAAAAAAAGAAAAGAAAATGGGGCAGGTACTCCCTCCAAATTTCCCCTACAATCTCATCACTTAGGACTATCTCCCATAACCAAGCCCATTGCCCTTGCGTGGAGCAGGCCGCAAGTGTCAGCCCTGGCAGCCCTCAATCAGAGAAAGGAGCTGGTGGAGAAATACCCAGTACCCTTGCCCCTTAGAGTGCCGAGCCTGAGGTCTGCTCTGTAAAGCTGCCTGGGTCCCGGAGAACTGAGCCCAGCTGCCCGAGTGTAACCTGCTCATTAACACACCTTACCGGGGCTTAAAAAAACCCTCTCTTGCCTCGGCCAGGGTGGCTCGGTTGGAGCGTCATCCTGTGCATTGGAAGGTTTCAGGTTTGATACCCAGTCAGGGCATGTACCTAGGTTGTGGGTTGATCCCCGGTCTAGGCGTGTGGGAGGCAACCAATCAATGCATCTCTCTCACATTGATGTTTCTCTTTTTTCCTTCCTCCCCCTCTGAAATCAATTTTTTTTTTTTAAAAAAATCTCTCACTGCCTCACTCCTTTCCTGGTCTTTGCCCTGAAAGCTTGTGTGAGGCTCTGCTTCTGCGGATGGGTAGAATGAAAACATCAGGGATTTTTGTTTGTTCTGTTCATGGTGGCCTCCCTGGTACTGTAGACAGAGCCTGGCATGCAGTAGGTGCTCAATAAATAATTGTTGAAGGAATGAACAAAGAGGTTATTCCCCAGCACTTCTCAAAGCTTTAGAGGTGGGAAACCTCTCCCGAGAAAAATCTGAAGGTGGAGCCGAGAGGGGCCAGTAGAGAGAGATGGAAATAGAGGGCGGGGTGTCTCCTGGGTGTTCAGTGACTTTCATGGTCCTGCCTCCAGCAGTGTCCCCTGTTCCTGGCCAGCTGGCTGCTCCTGCTCACCTGCTCAGCCTTCAGGGTGAGTTCGATAAAGATCTGCTGTAGCTTCTCATTGACAAAGTTGATGCAAAATTGCTCAAAGCCGTTTTTCTGTGAGGGAGGAAAAGAGTGTTTCCTTCAGTGGGCCGGCGCCGGACGCACAGGGTCACTGGGACAGGGTGTGCGACTGGGAGCAGAGACCGTACCTGGAAGATCTCGAAGCCGTAGATGTCAAGCACGCCAATACTGTACTCTTCCTGGGGCTTCTGCATAGCACGGTTGATGGCCTGTGATGCGGGCAGGGACAGGAGGTGAGTGCCAGCCTGCCGCTCTCTTGTTATGCTCTTAGTCATGTCACCAATTTTTCTCCTGCCTCCCTCAGCTCTGTGCATACCCCTATGAGGAACCCAGGTGTTAGAGCATCGGGTTCCTGCCTTGGGAGCTGGCTCTGCCCCTTAAAAACTCTGCCTCTATTTTCTCATCTTTAAAATGGGTGAATAATAACTATTTTATTCTAAGACAAACTACATGTAAAACAGTTACAAAAGTAAAGGGCACACACTAGGTGTTATGCAATGTTAGCTACTGCTGCCATCGTTCGTTACCTTGACACATCCATCCCCGTTGTCCCCCACCAGCCCACCACTTGGTCCTCCAGACAGTCCTCCTCTTGGCTCTCAAATGCACCTACCTGTCTTCGTCACTGCAGCCCCTCTCCCAGCCCAGGCCTGAGCTCCATGCCACAGCCAGAGGGAGCCCCTCAGTCTTCCAGATGGCCACCACCTGGCCCTGCTTCTGTGTCCCATGGCAGGGAATGGGTGGGGTTGTGATAGTTGAGCCTGCCTCTCCCACCCCTGGACCCCGCCACACTTGCCTCCACGAGGAAGTCAAAAAGACGGGAGTACAGCCCCTTGGCTAGAGCATCGCGGGTGTAAGCTGCCTGTTCCACGTTCAGAGTCACATCGATGGACTCGCTGCGCCCACCCCAGCGGCTGTCCATCTTGCGGCTGGTCAGCTTCTCTTGTAGCCGCCCACTGTCGATGCCCAGCAGGTAGGCAGGAAAGGCCAGGACTGCCGGGCAGGGGGAAGGGGGCAGCTGGTCAGGCTCTGTCTCTTTCAATGCTTCTGTCTGTCTCTCTTTTGCCCAGTGACACTGAAATTGTCCTCATGGGTTCCCACCCCCCCTGGTGCCCAAAGTAGGAGGATGTATTCACACACACACACACACACACACACACACACACACACGCCTGCTCTGCACCCTCCCCAGCACCCAAACTCACGGTCCACACTCTCTACCCTGGCGTAATTCCCATCTTCACAGAAGCTGATGTTTCCCAAGTGCAAGATCCCCGCCACGAGCTGCAGGACCAGCTGCTGGACGTTGGGTGGGATCCCGATGACCTGCATGGCGCTCTGTGGGCATCACAAACACAGAGCCTGTGCCACCAATCCGACCTCCACCCTGTCCCCTGGGCCACAGCACAGACTCAGGACACCTGGATCCCTGTTTTACCTCTTTCACCTGCTCGCTGTGTGACCTTGAGCAAGTTCCTACCCACCTCTGGGTCTCAGTTTCCTGACTTGTAACAGAAGAGGTTGGCAGGGTTGGATGGCAGTTGGTGCTCACCACAGTCTCACTGAAGTCGCTCCTGTCATCGGTGCCGTCCACCTTGTAGGTGTCTGATTGGTTGAGGTAGTAATAGTAGTCGGGGGTCATGAGCCCCAGGTTCTGCCGCTGTTCCTGGGAGGCTCCTTCCAGCAGCTGGAGGGTGAGTGATGCTCACACACAGGACCTGCATAGGCCGTGTGGTCCCCCAGGCCTCACTGCCCTCCCTCTGTCACCCCCAGGCTCCAGGTGGGGCCCCCCCTTCTTGCACCTGGTAGTAGATGTGGAAGTTCCTCTCGTTTTCATTCTGCGTGACCACGCGGGATTTCTCCAGCAGGAAGTTGGAGATCTTGCCCCCATCTGGCTCCCCGCCACGGCTGAACTGAATCTCAAAGTACTTGCCCTGAATGTGAGAGAACCATGTCAGGCCCCCCACCCCCCGCCCCAGCCTGGAGGTACAGGTTGCGGGGAGGACGGGCCATGGGTCTTATGAGCCTGGCCTCTTTCCTCCTCCTACCCATGTGGCTTCAACTTGCTTTCCTCTCCCCTCCCATGTATGCACTGCTTGTCTTTTCTACCAGCTCCTCTCCAGCCTTTGCTTAAGCCCTTCCTGGGCTAGGAATGCCCTTCACTCCCTCTCTGATGATTCAAGCCACCACTCAGGGCATCTGCCCTGTGCCGGGCACACAGAAGTATCAGATTTATTGACCAGGTCCCAATTCCACAACACAGAGGCCTCAATGTCTCCATGGGATACTACTGGTCCCAATGATCCCGAATGGCTCCCACATCTTGTCCCTGAACCCAGAGCATGAACCCCACACAACCCTTTTTTGGTCTCTGACACCATCTGGGTTCTTCTCTGGCCAGAGGTTTGGAGGGCAGACAAGCTCCATTACTTGTCCTTTCTGCCACCTCCCCCTAATAGCAAAACAAATTACAGCATCGTACTGCACAAACACCTGTACTGTATGACTTGTACTTATTCTATTGCACAATAAAAGTATCTACATATATATAAAAGCCCAGTGACCAGAACAGCAGAACAATCAGATTGACCAGACGACCAGTGGTTATGACATGCATTAGAGCAGCCAACCAGCCTGATCAGGGCTCCAGTAGCCACCCCTTCCCCCCCCCCCTCCGCCAACCACCCACAGCCCCTCCCTCCCTCTGCCCGGCCTGATGGGCCCCCATCAGGGCGGGCCGTCCGGACCCCACCTGTGCATGAATTCGTGCACTGGGCCTCTAGTATAAAATAAAATGTACTTATACATTTTGAGATTTGTCCATGTTTTGTGGTGTATCAGTAATTGGAAAACAACACTGTGTGATTCCATTTAAATGAAGTTCTAAAACAGCTAAGATTGATCTATGGTGAAAAAAACCCAGGTAGTGGCTGCTTCTGGAGCAGGGTGGAGTAGAAATTGACTAGGAAGGGACAAGAAGGAACTTCTGGAGCCACACGATGCTCTGTATGTTGGTAGGGGTTTGGGTTGCACAGTGTATGCATTTTTCCAAATTTAGATTTATGTGTTTTGCTGCAAAGTTTACTTTAAAAGAAATAGAGAGCTGCACACTTATAATGGACTATACTTAATGATCTGCATGCTGAAGTGTTTGGGGGGGAGGTATGGTGTCAGCAGCTTGCTTTATAATGCATTAAAAAGAAAAGATGGATGGAGATACAATAAAGCAATATAGTAAAATGTTAATGATATAGGAGATGGGCATACAGGTGTTCACTTTATTGTTCTTCCTATTTTCCTGTGTACTTGAAATTTTAACAATAAAATATTGGGAAAATACTTAAAATATAACTACATTATATATATTAGAAAATAAAAATATAACTAATAATATTTTGGGAAATAATAATCTTATCAGTGTATGGAATTTATTAAGTCATTCCCACGTGTAAGCAGGCATTGTAATGAAATTGTTGAGGTCTATGAGATGGATTTCAATATCATTCTCACATTATGGATGAGAAAACAGAGGAGACTCAGGAGGGTACATTGGTTCTTTTTTTGTCCAGGCCACATCTCTAAACAGTGACAGAACCAGGATCATAACCCAGATCTGTTGACCTAGTCTGTCTTCCATTAGGCCTAGCATAGCACCTGATGCAAAGAAGGAGCCTAAGAATCATTTCTTGAAAGAATGATGAAGGAAGGAATAAATTGGACCTGAAATGGGACTAGGGACAGACGTGGCATAGTTGTAGCCAGGGGAGAATTTTAGAATGCGACACAGACATGTCATGTTCTGCCCACGGGGGACTCTTTTCCAATGGACAATAAGCAGGTGGTGCGTGTCCCATCCAGGAGCAGGTATTTCCTGTGATCTTGGGAATACAGGTAGAGGTGTGTGTGTGTGTGTGTGTGTGTGTGTGTGTGTGTGTGTGTGTCAGTGTGGAGGGCATGGCTGCTCCAAAAGCAGGGCTGTGAACTCACAAAACGACTGGAATTGTTGTTGCGCACAGTCTTGGCGTTGCCAAAGGCCTCGAGCAGCGGGTTGGACTGCAGGATGATGTCCTTCACATGCTGGGGGCAGAGGCAGGTGGGGGCGAGGTCAGGTTGAGGCAGGTGTGGAGGGATAACATACCATGAGCGGGAGGGAGTCTGTCCCTTCTTTCTGTCTTTGCCTCACCTGGACCTTCTCGCCCCCGCCAGACACTTTGGAGATGTAGCCCATGATGTATTTGGCTGCCACCGTCTTCCCAGCTCCACTTTCTCCACTGGGGATGGGTGAGGCAAGGAATGGTCAGTGGCCAGGGGTAGGGGTAGGGGTGGGGAAAGTGCCCTTTTTAGTGCCTGATTGTCCATCCATCCATCCATCCATCCATCCATCCATCCATCCCCTACTGTCCTCAAGGGACTATTCCAGGCACTAGGAACACAATAATGAACAAGACATCCAAATCCCTGCCCTGCTGGAGCTGACATATAGAGAGGAAAGATGGACAGTAACAGAATGGATAAATAAAATATATCATGGGTCAGAGGTGACAAGGAAAGGAAAGCAGGCGGGGGACAGAGAGGGACAGCAAGTTTCTGTTTGGATCAGGGTTCCAAGTAAATCTCCCTCCAGTGGTGATGCTGTTTGGGCGGGGCCTGGGCAGGAGAGTCTGGGGACCCCTTTCCATACCTGATGATGACACACTGGTTTTCACAGTCAATGAGCATGTTCCGATACATGTTGTCGGTGAGGGCATAGATATGCGGGGGATTCTCATACTGGGCCTGCCGGGGAAGGCAGGTCTCAGCCCGGGGCTAGGAGCCAGGGCCCCGGGGACTGTGCCTCCCACCCCACCGTGGTCTCACCGCGCCCTGGTAGAGGTCGATCTCACGGTCAGTGAAGTAGGGCATCTGCTTGAAGGGATTTACAGAGATGAGCACGGAGCCAATGTAGGTCTGTGGGGTGGTTAAGGGCCATGCAGTGTCCTGGCATGCTTTGTCTCTCATGGACCCTGTCCCCTCAACCTGCCTCCCCCCCCCCACCCCGCCCCCGGGCCTCCTAGGGCCCCACTGCTCCGAGGACGAGATGGAGATACTCAGATGGGTCCTTGGTCTCTTAGGAAAAAACAGAGCTGGGTCCAGGATGGGAGAAATGGGGTATGTTGTAGCTGAGCTACCCCAAGACAGAGGAGAAGTGGGGCACACAGCCCTCCCAAGCAGAGCCCTGCTGTCACTCCATCTGTCCCGTGTCCTATCACCCAGTGCTCTCGCTGCCCACCCCTCCCTCCATTCATTTGCTCAGGCATCTGTATGTCCCTTCCCTGCTGAATTCCCTCTGCCATCCTTCCCTGCATCCAGCCACCACCATCCCACATCCCTCGCCCAGTCATCCTCCTGTTCCTCTGTCCCTTATTTGCCTGCCCCGCCCATGGCCCAGGGTACAAAGATGTAGTCATCCATGAAGCGCTTTCGGAGGTTGCCCACGATAGCATCCTCGGTGATCTGAGGCAGCAGCACCATGTCGTCCACGCCGCTCTGTTTCACATTGTGGCTCTGCCAGTGGAAGCGCTCCTTGCTGCCCTAGGGGAGGAAGCAGTGGGGTGGGTGTGAGTTACTGCAAGGGCGGCGTGTGGGAAGGTGGGGCTGGTGCTCAGCGCCCCTCCTGGCTCACCTCGTGCCTCCCCTCCTTCCCCGTCTCACACCAGGAGAGGCGGGCGAGGTCCAGTCCAGGCTCCCTCCCCCCAGGAGGAGGCAGGAAGAAGACAACTCCTCCTTCCCACATCCTTCTCAGCCTCCCTCTCCTCCCTTCCTCAAGCCCAGTCCTGTTTTCTCTGTGGCATTCGACCCGCTCCCACCCCTTCCACCTTGAGATGGCCTTCTTCCTTCCACTCCACTCCTCCTCTCTCGTGGTCATGCCTACCAGCCCGTTCCTCTGAGATTTTCTCAGAGCCATGTGCTCAACTGCGACCTCTACCCTCTGTTCCAAGCTGTGCCCCTGCCCCTCAGCTCCCACAGCCTTCCTGCTGCCCCGCCACCAGCTTCTCCATCCTTGGTAAGTCTTCGCACCTTCCCAGGCCCCCACACTCTTTCTCATTTCCTCCCTCAGGTTTTCAACAGTTGACACCGTCCTTAGGCCCAAGGAGGAGACTCAGATACAGGCTTCCCTCAGAAACCCTCCTCCAGGAAGCCTTCCGGGAATGTTTTCTACTTTTAGCCCGATCGAGCTCATCAGTGCCTGAGACACTTAGACACACGGGCTGCCCGATCGAGCTCATCAGTGCCTGAGACACTTAGACACACGGGCTCTCTGAGGCCCATTCTGCCTCTGCTCAGTACGCCCTGCCGTGGAAAAGTCTGGGAGACAGAGGCGCGAAGCTGGCACGGTGCTCCCCTGTCGGGTACACTCGTGCTCCGGTAACATGTCCCTCCTCCTGAAGCCCCTCTCCCAGACCAGGGCTCCTGGAGGGCTGAAACTGGGACTGAGTCCTTTCTCAGCCCCAGCAAGGAGGCCCTATTGAATATACAAGGGATGAGACCAAGAAAGAAACCCAATTTCAGAGGAAGACCACAAGAGCAAAGGATGCTGAGAAGCAAAGTCAGGTCTTCAAAGATGACCAGCATTTGCCGGACAGATTCCAGGGAATGGAAACAGGCATGGTGGGCAGAGGGCACTCTGGCAGGGGTCAAGCAGGAGGGTCAGAGTGGACAACCATAGGGCAGAGGTGAAGAATGAGAAGCCAGCCTCTCCTGGAGGCACTAGGGAGCCACAGAAAGTTCCTGAGCAGGGGGAGGTGCACGTTCAGAATCTGGACACACTAACAGCAGAGGAGTTTGTCAGGGAATGCCCACAGACATTAAACATGTACAGCTTTTCGTGTGGGTAGATCTAGGTTCTGATCCTGGCTGGGTGGCCTAACAGCGCTGTGAGCCTCTGTGGCCTCACCTATAAGATGGGAGAAACGGCTCACTCCCAAGGGGATGTGAGGACGAACTGCTCTGGAGAGTGAAGTGGGGCTGATGCTCTTCCCCAGCCTGAGTGGCCGTGAGGATGGGCCGGGGCACATGACAGAGTTAACATTCACTAAGCACCTACGATGTGCCTGACTCTGGGCAGGGCTGTCACCGATATTACCAGCAATTTTATAGCAACTCAGTGGGTGTAGGTGGGGAGGGAATGGAGGCGCGGGGAGCGAGTGGCTTGGCACTTGACTCAGGACACAGCTAAATTGTTTCCAAGGGTGTGGGGTTTGAGTCCAGGTCCAGTCTAGGACCCACAGGGTGTCTGGGCTGGGACTTGAGAGTTGAGAAGGGTTTTGATCATGAGCAGGAAGAGGGTGTACGGCAGAGTGAACCACCCAGGCAAAGGTGCAGATGTGTGACTGAGGCTGGGATGGACCACAGAGGAGGGAGTGTGGGGGTCAGGGCTCGAACTCCTCAACCTGCTTCCAGTCTGAGTAGCCAGAGTGGGTTTCTCATATGGAAAATCTGATCTCTTCTCTCTGGTTTTTCTCCTGTCTGTGGCTTCCCATCACCACCCCATTCATCCATTCTACAAAGCATTCTTGAGCACCTACTATGTGCTAGTAATTTAGGCCTTCAGGAGGAACTCTTTCAGTTCTTTACTGAGTTGCCTCTAAGCCTTTGCAGATGCTGAGCCCTCTGCTCAGACACTCTTCCTGTCGGGTGAATGCCAATCATCCTTTAAGATTTGGCTCAGGGGATGCCTGCTCCGAGAAGACCTCTCTGAACCCAGCTCAGGACAGGTGCTCCCTCTGGAGCCCACAGCCCACTGGGCTTCCCTCACTGTAGCCTCATACACGTTTGGACATCCCACACACGAACCTGATCTTCTGGTGTGCGAGCTCCTGAGCTGAGGGGCTCATGCCATGCCTGGCTCAACAAGGCATCAGGGCTTATTTGAATGAATGTGTGAAGAAATGAGGGCGTGCATGAATGAATGGAGGGGAGCAAGGCCCTGAAGAGCCTTTAATGCCAAGCAAAGGAATTTGGACTTGAATGTCTGTGGCTGGGAGAGTTCTCAGCAGGGCCATATTGCCTCTGGAGACACTTTATGAACCATGGGAGCATTTTTAGTTGTCACAGGGATGGAGACGGGTCTGGCATTTTAAGGGGCCACAGGTGCCAGATTTACATTCAAATAATCATCCCGCCTGTAGTCCCTCCCACCCCCGCCCCACCCAGCAGGTGCTCATATAACTGACAAACCTGTTTATAATCAATCATTGAAACCTAGGACCAAATTTGATTTTATCTATAAACAGAAAATCTATATATTTTTACATGGTTTGATACCTATTGCATTTTTCAGGAACCCCCTCCCCCCCAGATTTTATTTTGTTCAGGTGAATTTTTTCAGACTTTACTGAGAATTGTTCAGCATTTGGAAGCTCATGCTGCGCGTGGTGGGGCTGTCAGCACATTGAGACACGCCCGTGTCCAGGTGGAGCACCTGGTGGCCCCAATGAGCTTTGTTGTCCCCTGGCCTGAGCACTTTCATATTTATGCACACATTTCATTATAAATGACGTTCTCCTCCATTTGTACGCCATAAGCGTCTATAGACGCAATCGGTGGACCTTTTTAATTAAATTCAAAATATCATGGCAGTTAACTGGCTAATTATTTTTGAAACAATGGTACTTGGTATGTTTCACTGTGAATTTTATTTCAGGGCTTCAAGGGGCCTGTCAGGACTCAGGTGACAAGGGCTGGCTGGGAGAAGCCGGGAGCCATTGATTGCACCCCAAGCTACTACTGAAGAGCAGCATTCTTGCTCACTAGAGACTGAGAGGGGCCCCATGGAGAGCGATGGTGACCTCGGGGTCAGAATTCAGATGGAAGGTCAGGGGCTGTAGAAAGGGATCAAGGATGCTTTGGGACAGTCTGGCTGAGAAGGGGAAGAGGAAGAGAGGTTGTGAGGAGAGATGGGGTCAGGGGAACATGTTTCCTGTTTGCAAGATGGGGAAACCAGAGTGTGTTGGTCCTGGTGGGGCAGGAGTGGCAGCGGGTAGGGGTGTGGATGGGTGGGGACTACGGGGGGAACAGGAAGTGGATTCTCTCTCAGAGGGATCTTGGGTGGTAACTGACTACAAGAATAGCAATAGCCCGGCTGGCGTGGCTCAGCGGTTGAGATTGACCTATGCACCAGGAGGTCACGGTTTGAATCTCAGTCAGGGCACATGCTCGGGTTGTGGGCCCAATTCCCAGTGTAGGGCCTGCAAGAGGCAGCTGATCAATGATTCTCTCACATCATTGATGTTTCTATCTCTCTCTCCCCCTCCCATCCTCTCTGAAATTAATAAAAATATATTTAAAAAAAAGAATAGCAACAATAGTTAACAACCTATGGAGCACTTATTCTGTGCTAGACTCTGGTCTAAGCTTTTCCCGTGAATTATCTCATTTAATTCTCTCAACATATGCTGAGGTCAGTACTATGATTAGGTCCTCTTTGCAGAGCAGAAAACTGTAGCAGAGAGAGGTTAGGTGCCCTCCCCACGGTCACATAGCAGGAAGGGAGGACCTGGATGAGATGCACAAGGCTGTTCGTCCCTTAGCCTAGTCTGGGCCAGAGGTGGCGAGGGTTGGCGCTTTGGGTCAGATGAGGATGGGGCAGGGACAAGAATGGTTCTGTCCAGGGTTTCCCCTTTGGGGTCAGCCCAGGCTCCGTGCTCCTGGGCCCCTCAGGCAGAGATGACACTCAGAGCCACTTCCTTTCTCTGAGGTCAGAGTCCACAAGGCTGGTTGTGTCTGGCTGGCTTTCCCAGCTCTGACGACTTGGTTCCTCTTCCTGTCCCTCCCCACTTCCCCACCTGCCTCTTTTAGCCCTTGCCATCTCTCCCTATGTCCCGCCCCAGGAACCTGGACCCCCAGATCCACTCCTCACTCCATGTAATCTCAAAATCTATGGGTTGTTAGCAGTAGATGAAGAGAGGGTTTTGCTCAAGTGGCTACAGTGTGTGGGAGGACACTCAAGACTGTTGGCATGGGGCCAGTTGGGTGTGAGGCCTGGCCTGGCAGTCGACTGACTATGTGACCCCAGGAAGCCACTTTACTTCTCTAAGCCTCAGTTTCCTCATTGGTAAAATGAATTCCATGATACACTTCCTGCATGGGGTTTATGAGAGGAGTAAATGAGCTAACACAGAGAACAGATGTGTTGGGGTGCCTCAGGAAGGGCAGCTGGCAGCTTCAAGAGCATTGAGTGGAAATGATCAGTCTTTGACAACAGATATAGGAGCTGGTCAACATATACTTGTTGAATGAATGAAGTACCATAAGAATGAGACTGCCCCTGGCCCTGTGTCATGGCTATCTCTCTCTCTGTGGCCCTCAAGTCTCCGTGGTTCAAGTTGAACTGTTTGTTCCTGAGTCTCTTCCTTGGAATGTGGGGTGCAATGAAGAGATTGTGGTCACAGTTGACCACAAGCCAAATATGACTCAACCTGCTGGGGTTCTTGTGAAAGACAGTCAGGGGCTCGAGGTGGCTGGGGTGGGAAGGGGAAGGTGGCTTCTTACTTCAGCTCTTCAGAGAGGTCTCCCCAACCGAAGGCAGAGGGCATGGGGTGGGGCTGTTTATGACCAGAGGAGGGTAGCTGTTTATGACCAAGGTGACGGCATAGGAGTCCTTTAGTAAACACACTTCCTGAGCCCCTGCTGTGCAGATAGGTGGGTGGCACCAGGCCTCGGGGAACTCAGTGTATCCTGAGCGGGTGAAGTGAGTTGCCTAAGGGAGACTGTGGGTGCACATCGGTTGGTAATAAGGAGAGATGGGGCGATCAGTAAGGGCTTCCTATAGGAGGCAGTTCTTGCAACATCAACTTCCCAGGCAGAATAGGTGGTGGCACAGGAGCCAGGGGCCAGGAAGGCCTTGGGTATGTGTGGGACACCGGGATCCTAGTTTCATTGGAACAGAGTCCAGGTCCAAACGAGGTAGAGATGGGCAGCCTGGGGCATGTGGGGTCTGCATCCCGCCCTGGTTTATAGGAGGAGGTTGTAGGTCAAGGTGGTTGTTAAAAATGTGACCTTGGGAGTCACTGAGTTGAAACCCACTGCACTTTGGGTTATACGACAGCTTGCCTAACCCCCCGGCCTCAGTTTCCTCACTTGGAAAATGGGACCTTTGAGGGCCATAGACCTTCCAGGGCAGTTGTGCAGATTCAATGAGGCAAAGTATGTGAAGAGGAAATGGTTTTTGAAAGGGGTATTGTTGACTGCTGCTTCAATGGTAGCTGGCTATGTGTGGTTGCTGATGGCTTTCCTCACCATTGCCAACAACAGCAGCAGCTCCTTAAGTTGGCCAGTCCCACAGGCACAGGGCACAGGGCCAGAAGGAAGGGCTGGATGAGGGAGCTTTTGCAATTGCCCCAACTGCTCTGGCTTCCCTGGGTGGTGATGAGCAGAGCCCCAGACTGGAGAGAGCAACAAAACAGCCACTTCCTTCCTTGCTGGGGTCCTGCAAGCTGTGGTTGCCAACCAGGAGGAGGTGTGAAGCTGCTTGTGGCTGCTGAGGCAGCCCCAGCCCTGGCCCTGCCTTGGCCCCTACTGTGCCCCCTGGTGCCTTGGTGTCCTGCCCTCCCCAACTCAGTGGGGTTCTGGGGTCACACCCTGTGTTCCTACATTGTGCAAACAACACTCTCTCCTCCAAAGGTTCCTAGGGTCTCCCCCTCCTTTTATCCTAGCCAGAGGCCATTCTCCAACATGTGGGAACCCTTGTCCTTCCAGAGTACTTCCTCCTAATTCTCTCGGCTCCCAGC